ACATTATTTATTGCTGTACTGGTAAATCTGTTTAAAATTGTTCGGCTACATTTTACAAATGGGAATAATAATAAATTCGCCAGAAAACAAATTGTGCAATAAATCATTAGTTCTTTTTCACACACTCCATAATAATTTTTGTATTTTTTCTTAATATTGTTGGGCTTGATTCCCCCTCAAATATTCGGTTTTTGCAATGGTTAACTTTATCCCAATCGCACTTATTATTAATTGCTTGCATGTGGTCGCGACAAATGTTTTAATTATATTGTAAGTATTGCCTTCGATACGGTTTGTCCCATATTCCGGCGCCCACAGTCTCATGGGATTGGATTCGTTGTATTCGAGCAGGCCAGTGGGACAAGTCTGGTATCTACGATCTCGGCAGCCCCGCCCTCCACTTTCCGTCCCCCCGCCCCCCAGACTTTGGATTTAGCTTCGCTTTTTGCTCCCCATCTCGTTAGCAGACAGTCGGAGTTACGATCTGAACCCAAATCCAATGTTATACAAGCGGTTTGTCTGTCTGGAGCGTTGGTGTCACTCAGTGTTCTATTCATAGCCGAGTTCGTTCTGATTTTGCCCTGATTCGCATGACGAATCTTTTCTTGGCACTTTCTTCTGCACGCCAATCAACCGAAAAAGGTAGCAAATTACGGCCTAAGGGGAATTCATTCGAAATTACCCCACAGCTGACTGAAAATTATTTGTTCTTATTTGCAGTGCCAAGTTTCAAGCGAGACGTGAAATAACATCCACCACGAATTTGCTGCCAACAATTTTACTTAAAATACTTTTACTTTTCGACGTGCAATTATATTTAAATTTGGTGCATTTTAAACCACAAGAGAGATCATCAGGTAAAATTGAAAAAATTTAAATATTTGTTTTGTTTTCGAAATATTGGATGTAAGTACCTAACAATTTGAATAGCTAAATATATTTGCCTTTTGCATAGGTGCTCTTGAAAATCTAAACAATTCGCTGTCATTAGTTTTGATTACGCAACGTCACTATTTGTATTATATTTAATGTTTCAGATTTAATTAGCATCTGGGAGAGGTAAGAAAAACATAAACAACTAATTTATTTCGAAAGGTAATATAAATTTTTATTTATAAACATAATTATAAGGATTTTATCTCGGAGCATAAATGCAAGTATTAAATAATTATTAATAAATGATATATTCCTTAACAAAAAAACTAATTTCTTGTTATAATTATTAACATTATTTTATTTTTAGGAGCACACGCACGATATTATTTATAATTTCAGCGCATGTTTTGGGTTTTCCCCATATTCCTGAATGGAATTAATTGTGTTAATAAACTTTGCGAAAGAGCCCCCCTTGACAGAATGATCACTTTATACTCATGTTTGTGACAATTGTGGCTTTCGCTGATGAGTGAGTGTGGCAATGTTTGGGGCCGAAAGTCATTGTCAATGCCAAGTGCGAATCGCTTGGCGTGCGATAGATATATCTGTATCTGCTTGGTGTGCGATAGATACATCTGTATCTGCTGTGGATACAAATACGAGCTGCGATCTGCGAGCAGCGAAAATGTTGATTCGTGGATACGCGATTTTATTGTGGCCTCATCCAATGTCAGTGACACTCGGTCTGCACGCCGATGACTAGTTCTTTTTTTATATTGTTGGGCTTAATGTGTTTTGTATTGTCAAAAAAGAAATGATATTTGGCTGTGCGACTGAATCATTGTGATGCTATTCAGATACATGTTCGGATATAGGCATGACGTGCCCCCAACCGATCCCAAAAAGTCTATTTGACTACCTCTTTGACGCTTGTCAACAGTTCAACAATGTCGCCCCAATTGTTGTTTGGTTAAATATTTTCTATTATTTTGCGCAGTTTGCCCAAAAACTTTGTGTGATGTTAATGGGCGGTATGTCATCATAAATTAATTGCCCTCGAATAATAAATTAATGGAAGAGAAGAGTACCTAAACCAAGTATCCCATAAATTAATTCTGCTCATAAAATATAAATTAAAGCAATCCAAAAATGGGTGTATTTTTGGTTGAGAAAAATTTTTGCTGGTTCAGCACAAAAATTATTTGTTATTTAACTTACACTTTCAAAAAGTTATTAATTGAGCTAGGTACAATGAGTTATAATGTAACAAAAACTAAAGTAGTTTTAGTATTTGTATGTATTTAACATACAACTGAACTGAACAGAATTAAAAAGGCTATCTATATACAACCAAAAGGCTTCAATCTTGCAACTGAGTTTGACTTTGAATTAAGTATCCATCGGATAAGCAAATTCCCCTTTTGTTGAAGTCAACTTCCCATTCGCCCCATTCATGAACTTTTATGGCTTTATCCGCTCTATCTATCGATCTAACGTGTCTGTCGCTTTGTGGACTGGCTTTTCACTTTGGCCATGTTCAATTAGCGGTGGTTGCATAATTGAAAGTGCCAACAGGTCCCCCGTTTTCACGTTTTCGATCGCAGGGCGCCACTTTAGCGCTCGCCGAGGTGTGAACTGCTAATGGGCCACAAATATCGTGGCAATGCCCCGGAGGAACAGCCGAGGGAACCCGTAAACAACTTGTGTTTCTTGGCCAAACAAGACGGACAAAAAGCCCTGCTTTTCAGTGCATCCAAGCAGGTGGGCCGTGACGTCACTTAGATCCGTATTTGCTGTGTTTTCAAGCTGCACTCGAGTGGCAATGGAGTGTTTGATTATCGGCGGTGACGTCATTTGTCAACCTGCCGACAGCCGACTGATAGCTAAAGTGCATTTTCCATTTAGCGCCAATGGTTTGAATGCGCTGATTGAATGGGAGTCGATATACAGAATGAACGTGCCGTAAATCAAATTGAACGCCAGTGGCAGCGGCAATGTGACATCGCCGGATTGTATTTCTCGCTTAATAGCGAATCTTTATTCGCGATGAATAAAAACGAAAGACACATTCCATCACCTGCGAAAGGTCAGAGTTGATTGCCGAGGTGTGGGTGGGTCTGTTAATTGCATGCAAGCCCCCCGGCGAGTCATAACCACATCGTAGTAATCGTAATCGTAATACCCATAATAATAACCATTCGAATCAATTACGAAAATATGTTAACTCCGAAGAGCGATACGCGAAGCGTGTCGATTGCAAATAAATGCACACATTTAGCTCAACATATTTTCGTACTATAGCAATAACCTTAACCGCCAACTGCACTCGGCCAACAGTGCGTATGAGCCATATATCAAAACGATGACGGTGCAATTGACGGCAGAATGTAAACTGCTTGTGATGCAATTTACATTTTAATTGCCGCCTTTCGTTGCCCCGGGCCAAGCCAATCCAATCCATTTAAATGGCGCTTTGCCTAATGACACCGTCACGTTCCACCGTACAGTGAGCACCGAGTAACGCTTCCCCCAGTATCGATTTCTCTGATTTCGAGGTATGCAAATATGCCTGCCAGAATTGAGCTTCTCGAATCATTGATTATGCAAATGCCGGCGAGGTAATCAAATAAGCCGGAGGGCTGTGGCGAAAATACTTAACGAGTCGTAAAGTCTCTGGGAATTATGTAAATGCAAATTGGATCGGCGACGCAAAGATCGTAAGTGAGGCACAGCCGCTGGGAGGAGGAATTAATTTTGGGGCTAAGCCTGAGCTCCGAATCCGAAGTTTAATGTGCTCTACGGTTCAAGATCCCCGAACTCGAACAGCAGTCATCCCGTCCGTCAGCAGAAACACTCGTAAATATGACATCACCTGTGGGACAAGACCAGTAGCCAAATGACTTGGCTTTTGTTTGTTCACCGGTCAACTGGTGAGTGTGTTTTGTTTGTTTTTGGTTTTCGTTTTTTACTTTATCGAGAGGGAGGAGGGGGAGGTGGTTTTGCCGGAACTGGACCGGATTGCGTGTTTGCGAAGATGAAAAACTGACAAATTTATGGGATTATGGCTAATACCGAATATTTAGCTGCTCTGGTTTTGGGTGTTCCATTACAGATTGCTCGAGAAGCGCTTCCTGTCCGAATTCTGGTTAACCTTAGCGACCACTCGCGTTCGAATGGAGATAATTCTTGATATTTCTGCTGATCAGCACTTTTTGCGCCGCGATATGGGAAACCTTTTGAAAGGGGTTACACTCAAGCCAAAAACTGTAGTGCATTTGGAATTCCTTTTGTTCAAGTTCACGGTCAGTGGAGCAAAATACACAAGGAACTGGAATATCAGCTAATGCCGAAAGTAAACATTAGACGGAGGAATTCCAGCTGCACATCGAGAATAATAAAGACGCAATCTTATTCTGTCTGTTTGGCTTTCAACTTTTGGGCTGGAAAATCCCACCTTTTCCTCCGGCGCGATGATCGATTGCAGTCGTGGGGGAAATGTTTCGTGTCGGTCGGGATTTTGCTTTTCCAAAATAGCGTGACTCTGCCCCGTTGCCAGATTTTGCAGCTGTATCTGTGGCTATATCTGGCCAAGGCATCTGCATCTGCATCTGGTCTGCACCCACGAAATGCCATCAGCGCTTTTGGCCAGACCCGATCTTGGCCCAAAGTGGCACAGCCATCTTCCGGACTTTCTAGTGCGTCGTCTTATGAAAAATGCAAGTTTGCTTAGATCTCAGATAAATCTCTGTGTTTTGGGTAAACGTCGCAATAAATGGGTCAGCACTTTGTCTACGCGAATTGCGCGGCTTAAGTCCCCAAAGTGATTGGAATATTTAAGGCCATAATAAGTCGGGATGAGGCTGTTTGCTAGTCTGATTAATTAGCAGCTGCCAACTGATAGGCGTCGCATTGAGTTCCACCTGTTGTTGTGTTCGCCGACTCGAATATCTGTTTGTGGGCACACTCGTTAGCCGCAAATCCGGAGACAATCCATCTGATATTGATTTCCCGCCAAGCCACGCATTCAATTACAATTTCAACACTTGCGATTGGTTGCAGTTCGAACTGGATTTGGTTTTCGATTCCGATTCGGATTGCATGGTTTATCTAACTCAAATTCTCACCTGTCAGAGACAATTTTGTTTTTTGCTGGCAAAAAGAGTTTTACACTCGCGCACGATTAGTTGGCCGGCTGAAAAGCCAGAAGAAATTAGCGTCAAAATGGGCTTAAGCTTTCGGGACTGATCTGATCTGATCCGCACGCGCGTTCGCTGTCGCGACAGATTGGGAATCCAGACTGAGACTGAGACCGAGCCAAGTTAGCCACTCAGCCGCGATCTGAGGACCGCGAACGGGGAAACGACGACAAAAGCGACTCTAAAAGCCGACAAGCGGCTGCCGACAAGCATTTGCATTTTGCGACCACGATGAACCTCCGAACCGTCGGCTTCCACTTTTCGCTGAGCCAACAAAATGGGCAAACAAGCACATTTTTCGAGAACTTTTTACACAAAAAAGTTACGAAAAAGTTGGGACAAAGTAACACAACACAAGGACCAGCACGAGCGAAACCCAACTCCAATGTGTGTACTTATGGAGAGGAGAAATAAAAGATTTACGTGGATTTTATTAAGTCATTTGATATGATGTATTTACAATACATTAATTGGCAATTAAGGCGTTGCATTATTGTATGTTACAATAATTTATCTTGTTACATTTATAATATAAAGATATATCATTTTAAGTTTAATTTAACCATAATCATTCACAACTCATTTTTAGACTTTTTTGAAGTTTTTAAAATAGTAAACTATGCTTCTATTTTTACAGGAATTGTTTTCAGTAATTTAGGTAAAATTCATATGTGTAAGAAGATACTTTTTGATTTTCTCCCGCAGTTTACAGAAATATTTTATTATACATATTTTCTTGGTTAAGTAAATAAAATAAATCTATGCAATAACTAGCACTAATGGTGTTTTCTTGCCTTAATTTATACCAAGTACCATTTGTTTTGTGAGTCTCAATAAATAAACTTTTGTACAGCAAGAAAGACATTAATTTTGAATGCAATTAAAACTGCAAAAATGACTCAATATTTTTTGATGCCCCCCACAGTTATTGAGTTATTGAAGTTGATGATCAAGGACACTGCCTTGGAACGGCTATCCTTAATTGCGTAAGCATAAAAGCGGGCATTAAGCTTAATTGTCTGGAGCTGCGCCTTCACTTTTGCTGCGGCTCACTTCGTGTCAAGCGCATTTAAATAAATTCTGTTGAACGAGCAGCCATAAACAAGCAAACAATTGCAAGTCAAAGTCGCGAGTGAAGGAGCTGCTCCAGATGCGTGTGGGAGTCTATATATATACGGCCGACTGACTATATCCCCAACTGCCGGCAATGAAGTGCTTGAACCTGACATTCAGCGAATTCAAATTTATATTCCGCCACATGACAGCCATCGACTGGCAACAAATCGATGTGATCGCTCAACAAATATCTACATCTGCATCTGCGACCGTGCTGATGCGTTTTAAATTGAAGTCAATTCGGCAGACACTTGCAATAAATTACGGGAGTCGGCCAATTTGATTATTAATTACTCGACAGTGCCCCCAAGAATCAAAGTCGAAGGAGGCGGGTGCTTTTCAAATACTCTATATTATCGGTTCTTTGCCTTTCTAGTCTTCATCTTCGTCGCAGATTGTGGGCCCACTTCCAATGCAGGAGGCATAGGCCATCAGATGGGGAATGGTGCTCTGCTGCATCATTCCGCTGAAGAGGTGGCTCTGGGGGCCGTGGGCGAAGATGCCCACATCATCGCCAGCGTGCACTCCAATCAAGCCGGGGATGTAGCTGGGGTGGATGAAGTCTAAAAAGAATAAGTAGAGGTATTATATCATCAAGTTATGCATTCTGATAAAAATAAAACATTCTACCAAAAAGTTACAATCTTTGCCCATTGCAATACCTTTCTTTATAAAAACCTAAACTATGGTACTACATTTTAGATAAAGATTTAGTAACATCTCTGTGGCTTCTTAGCTTCTTACCTTCTTCTTCAATTTTACCGGTGAGATCGATGCGCTGGCCATGTTCATCGAGGTACTGCTCGGTACCAACGGCATAGTTCAAGGTGGCGTACTTGATGCCATTCAAATCCACGTCGTTCTGGTTGAGTCCCAGGATGGGGTTTCCCCTGCCGGGATAACCAGCGATGGTCAGCGGATGAGCGTGATCGGAGGTGACCACAATGAGGGTCTCCTCGGGATCTGTGATGTCCAGAGCCTCCTGCACTGCCTGCTCAAATTGAAGGGTTTCCTCCAGCGAATTAGTTGGTGAGTTGAAGTGATTTCCGTAGTCAATTAGACCTCCTTCGACAAACAGGAAGTATCCGTTCTTGTTCTTTTGAACCACTTCGATGGCTTTGCGAGTCATTTCAGCCAAAGTGGGTTCCTCCTTGGGGTCGGCCACCCTGTTGAAGCTCATCACTCCGGAACGGAAAGTGCCAATCAGATTGGTGATCTTCGAGGCATTCACACTCAGCAGCTGATTGCGATTGTAGGTGAGGACTCCACCGGGATGAAGACCCTGCCAGCGGGACAGGAGATTCACTCCATCCGATCGCTCTCCTTTCTTGTTAAAGGGATCCGTAATTGTATTCGGCAGGAACTTGCCAATTCCACCGCCCAACATCACATCGAAGTTCTTGCCGGGAACCTGGGTGATCAACTGGGTGGCGATATCCGTGCAGGTGGCAGGATCATTCTGACCTTCGCCGTAGGTCAGGATATCCGTGTCGCTCTCGAAGAATCGATTGGTGGTTTTGGCATAGGCTCCCGATGGACTGGCGTGGGTCAAAGTAGTGGTGGTCACGAATCCGGTCGCTTTACCTGCATTCTGGGCCCACTCGGCAATGGAGGTCAGTCGGTTGGCCGGATCCTCGCTGCCACTGCAGTTATTGAAGGTCACCGCTGCCGTGATTCCCAGAGCCACAATGTTCGTCTTCACTCCACACAAATACGCGGTGGCCGTGCAGGCGGAGTCCGGCACTTGGGCATTCGAGCAGTAGGTCTAAAAGAAAATCAGAAACGAAGTTAATACGATAATTAACTAGATAAAGTCCTAAAGTGTTAGGAAATCCTATAAACGATTCTTGTCACATTGAAAGTTCTAGAGAATGAAAGCTATTTTTATTTAACTTTAGGTTCATAAAACATTGTGTAGAAATTGAGATATTAATTTAATAGATATTTTCAAGGAAGTAAAATAAGTTTGTTGTTCTTTAAAATTGTTGTGTTAATACTCACCCTACTCAAACCAGTGTATGGGAACTTCTCGAAGCTCAAGGAGTCCTCCTCGCCGGTATTCCCCTTCTTCTGCCCCTTGTGGATGCGGGCAGCTGCCACCGTGGACAAGGACATGCCGTCACCCAGGAAGAGGATCACATTCTTGGCCTTCCTCTTGTCCAACTGTGGCAGTTCCAACCGCTTGGCGATCTCCTCGTGGGCCAGATCGTACCAGAACTGGGCGTTCTTCTCCTCCTCGGGTCCGGATTTTCCTTTACCCAAGGCATTGGGATCGATAAGGTTCGCATCACGGGTTTTACCTGTGGCAGCAGAGTTTCCCACCAACTGATTCTGGTTGTGGATCTCGGGTACTAAAACGGGTGGTTCATTTAGTAATCGCAATATATTTCGCCATTTTATCACTCACTATCTATAGAAGCAGCTGAAGCGGTGGAAGCCAAGGCTCCCAGCAACAGGATGGCGTAGCCTAAGTAGCTCTTCATTTTGGGCCAGATGTATTACCCTTGGAACCAGCTATTAAACTAATGTAAGAACTTCACGCGCTGCTATTTATAAATCCTAGACCTTTGATATCTAAATTGTCATATCTCCTTGGCATAATCCCACTTGCCCAGACATCTCCAAAAAACTGAGTTTGTGATTTAACATTTGCACAGTCTTTTCCTCATTAGATTTTACGGTTATGGGGGTCTTTGAGTAAATAGACCTGGCTACCAGGCCAGAAAACCCGGACCAATGGGGAGACGGCGATAAACGAACACACTTCGGCTTTTAAAAGTGGGCACGGCACTCAAAATTTGGACCACGAAAAGTGACCCGTGGCCTTAATATAATAAGCGTGATCATTAAAAGATTAAGCGAATATTTCACTTTTTACGGGCGATAACTCCTGAATAGAAGAAGAAACTTAGGTTGGGGTCTATTGGCTAGATATAACTTTTTATTTAATAAAAGTTATTATACACCATTCATACATCATTTTAAATTAAAGGAATTGTACAATTGCTAGTTAGAAGAATGCAAAATTCGAATTTTCATTGACAGTTTTGATAGTGTTAAACAGCCAACTTAATATTAAAAGTATAATGACAAATATATTTAAGACAACAATTTACTTTATTTTCTAACAAGTCAGCTTTTTCCCAGTTAATTATTGCATAGCTGCTTTCGGTCGCCAACGCAAGAGGCATACGCCATTAAATGGGGAATGGTGCTCTGTTGCATAACTCCAGTGAAAAGATGGCTCTGCGGACCAGAAGCCCAAATGCCCACATCCTCCCCAGAATGCACTCCTATTTCCTTGGGAATATAACTGGGGGAAATGGCATTATCTGGGCCAAGAATGCCGTCCAAGGGAATCCTCTGTCCAGTTTCATCCAGATACTGATTGGGTCCTGCTGCGTAGTTCAACACTGAGTACCTAACTCCATTGATATCTGTGTCGTGCGGATTGATGCCCAGGATGGGAGTTCCTCTGCCAGGATATCCTGCAATGCTGACTGCGTGTCCGTGATCGGCAGTCACCACAATCAGAGTGTCATCGATGTTGGTGATTTCTCTAGCCAACTGAATCGCCTTCTCGAATTCCAGGGCTTCATCTAAGGCATAGCCAGCTTGGGTGTAATGATTACCATAGTCAATCAGACCACCTAAAAATATGTCATAAAAAGTAATGACTGTTAAGTGGACTAATATCCTGCTTGTAGGACCACCCACCTTCAATAAACACGAAGTATCCATTTTCGTTCTGACTCAGCTTCTTGATGGCCACTTCAGTAAGTTCAGATAGAGTTGGTTGGTAACTGGGATCTGCATCCATGTGCATGTCCATTAGGCCCGACTGAAAAGTCCCAATTATTTTGGAGGCAGCCGAAACATCCAAGCCGAGCAACTGCTTGCGATTGGTGACCAGGACTCCTTTATCGTGAAGGGATTGCCATTTGGACAGGAGATTCACTCCATCAGATCGTTCCCCAGCTTTTCCGTGACTATCCTTTATGGTTTTGGGCAGAAACTTGCCCATTCCCCCGCCGAACATCACATCGAAGTTCTTACCGGGAATTTGGGTCACCAGTTGGGTGGCCATGTCAATGCACTTGCTGGCATCCACACCGTAACTGGTGACATCCGTGTCACTCTGCCACATCCGATTGGCCACCTTGGCATAGGCTCCCGATGGACTCGCGTGGGTCAATGTGGTGGTGGTCACGAAACCCGTCGACTTTCCTGCATTCTGTGACCATTCCGCGATGGAGGTAAGTCTGTTGGCTGGATCCTGACTGGCGGTGCAGTTGTTGAAGTTTACTGCCGCACTAACTCCGATATTGATGATGTTGGTTTTCGCACCGCACAAATAAGCGGTGGCGGTGCAGGCGGAATCGGGCACCTGGGCGTTGGCACAGTACGTCTGTAAAGATAAAAAAGCATCATTTGCGTCCACAATTGAAATAAAGATAATTATCTTTTTATGCCTTCACTGTATTCGAAAACTGCCTCAATCTGGTCAGTCGGATACTGGCATCCAATTTTGTAGAAAAATTAAAATCAGAGAAATATTAGACAATTTTTTAAAAGCCATCAGAACCTTTTAGTTATATTTTTAACATCAACTGGAAGCCTATATTAACGAAATGCACAGGCACTTGTCAACCTAATCTAGTCAACAATGGTTAAGCCCACAATAATATATAATCTTTAGATTAATCCAAGTACATATCCATTAAGATTTGCTAAATAAACAAAATTTAAAGGTGGCTCACTTTTAAAAAACTTGTGTTTATAAAATTTGTATATTTTGTGTTTTATATTTTAACTTTTTATATAACTTTTTAACTTTTTAACTTTTTTATATTTTAAATTTAAATTATATTTCCCTCCTTCAAAATTGGTTTTACCAAATACATACTTACTCTACTCAATCCCGAATAGGGGAATTTTTCAAAACTAAGGGAAGATTCTTCTCCAGTTTTATTTTGGCGTTGTCCTTTCAGGATACGAGCAGCTGTAACCGTTGCAAGTGGCATTCCATCTCCCAGGAACATAATCACATTTTTGGCTTTATTCGAATTCGGCTGGGGGAGTTCCAAACGCTTGGCAATTTCCTCATCGGCGATCTTGTACCAGAATTCGGGGTCCATTTCCTCAGGTGGAGTGTATTTATCGAGAGCGATTTCCGTGGGAAAGGTCACGTCTCTGGAGAGCTTTGGACCAGTTTGTTTGCCAGATTGCTGACCATTTAGTTCAAACACATTGTGCACTTCCTTTACTCCACTTAAGGCGGTTCCAAATAAAGCCAGAAGCTCCAGAATCGGGAGGAGTAATTGCATTTTGGAGAAGCGCATCTTGCAATTGTTTTACACTTAGTGAACTCTTACTAACTACATCTAATGAGTGCAAGTTCGAGGTCTTATAAAGCCTCCGGGAAATCGTATGCACTAGATTATTGCACTACACACAAGGAATATCTAAATTTAAGTTTATTCCCCCTTTATTGACCCTTTACTCTTATCTTTGTCGGTGTGCCGTATCTTAAGGAAGAATTACAGAAACTTACACTATTTTACAGATAGTGGAAAAGTATCTGCATGCCAGTGAAAAGCTAATACAAAATATTTGCCTTGAAACGTGAAAATATTTGACCTTCACCTTGGCATTTCGCGCCTGATGAGCTGATGATCCTTAAAGTGCTGAGATCACCTGTGTAAACATTTCTATCAGCCAAATGAAATTTTTAAGTCACGTTTGCCGTCGTAAAGATCTCATGATTCTAATCTCCAAAGAACGTGTGACTGGCTTATCAGTAAAAATTTTGCATCGTTTTAAATTGGACTCAGTTTGGACTGCATCTCGTGGGTAGGATAAATATTTACATTTAAAGGTGCAATTTTTTAGTTGCTTTTGCGGAGAATAAATCATGGTATTATCAGCTTCTTCCCTGTTTGAATTGGTGTCTCAATAAAAATGTACACTTTTTTTTAAAGTTATATATAGTACATGCTTTTTATTTGTGTTTGCAAATAGAACAAATTTCATCAGCTAATTTGGGAAAATGGTTTTCTTTTGACGAAAGCTGATCCCATTCTTATACAAGCGCCCGTTTAGGATTTTTTTTGGGCTGGTTTTATCTTAATTGGCATACGTACGTGTCATAATCACTTTAGCTTAGTCGTCTCCCAAAAAGTCAACTTTTATGGTTCGATGTTTACCAAGTCTTTTAGTCATAAACGTTTATGATTATGGGGGTTTACGCCAATACACCTGGCTACCAGATCAAAAGATTGGACTCAGAACAGCGAAACGGTTCTTTTTGGCTTAAAAAAGTGGGCACGGCACTTATAAATGTCTGGAGTTTGGTAAGGGTATATATTTTTATATTCCAGACTTTTGTCTACAACTTATATAGCACGTTGCCCACGGCACTCCAAAAATGTACCCCTAAGTTTTATATGAAAGCCAGTTACCTTGATCATAATTCTGTAAGGTGACATAATCTTACTATTAAAGGCGAAAAAAAAACTGGAGTTGGATCTTGTTGGGTTATTATATGACCTTATCGTTGGCCTAGTTGCAGAATCTTTTTGGAATTTTTTTAGGAATTAAAATTCGAGTTAGTTTTCAAATTTATGTAAACTCGTTTTTATTTATTAATCAATTGTCAAGTTTGCAAAAAGTAGAGTTCTTAAATTAAACAAAAGTATTTTGTAATGTTGAAACAAATTTTATATCTGGCGATCTTACATGGTAAGATTAACCTGCAATTTTCCTGAGTCTCTTAATTTGTTTGGTTTTCGATAGTTAGTTATCGCAAACCTTCTGTCCGCTTCCAATGCACGAGGCATAAGCCATCAAGTGGGGAATGGTGCTCTGTTGCATGACTCCAGTGAAAAGGTGACTTTGAGGACCGGAGGCAAAGATGCCCACATCCTCGCCAGAGTGCACTCCTTCACTCTTGGAGATGTAGCTGGGAGAGATGGCATCATCGGCACCAAGAATATCATCCAGGGGAATTCGCTGACCAGTTTCATCGAGATACTGATTGGGTCCCGCTGCATAATTGAGCACAGCGTACTTGACTCCATTCAAATCGGTGTCGTGCTGATTGATGCCCAGGATGGGAGTTCCCCTGCCAGGATATCCTGCGATACTAACGGCGTGTCCGTGATCGGCAGTCACCACAATCAGAGTGTCCTCGATGTCGGTGATGTTTCTAGCCAATTGGATTGCCTTCTCGAACTCCAGGGCTTCATCTAGAGCATATCCAGCCTTGGTTTGGTGGTTGCCATAGTCAATAAGACCGCCTGAAAAAAGATTATACAAATAAAGAGTTAGGTTATTCAAAATCATTGCATTATGTAATGTGCTGATGGAAAGACAACCCACCTTCGATAAACACAAAGTATCCATTCTCGTTCTGGCTCAGCTTTTTGATGGCAACCTCTGTGAGTTCAGAGAGGGTTGGCTGGTAGGATTCATCCGCCTCCTCGTGGAAGTCCATCAACTTAGACTGGAAAAGACCCACTATGCTAGAAACAGCGGAAACATTCACGCTGAGCAGCTGCTTTCGATTGGTGACCAAGACACCTCCTTCGTGAAGTGCTTGCCATTTAGACAGGAGGTTCACTCCATCAGAACGCTCTCCAGCATTTCCGTGACTATCCACGATGGAGTTGGGCAGGAACTTGCCCATTCCGCCGCCGAACATGATCTCAAAGTTCTTTCCGGGGGTTTGGGTCACCAGTTGGGTGGCCATATCAATACAAGTACTGGCATCTACTCCATTGCTTGTGACATCAGTGTCGCATTCCCACATTCGATTGGCTGTTTTGGCATAGGCTCCCGAAGGACTCGCGTGGGTCAAAGTGGTGGTGGTCACAATGCCAGTGGATTTGCCGGCATTCTGAGCCCACTCGGCGATGGAGGTTAGGCGGTTAGCTGGATCTTGGCTGGCGGTACAGTTGTTAAAGTCCACTGCAGCACTTACTCCAATGTTAACGATGTTGGTTTTCACTCCGCACAAATAGGCGGTGGCTGTGCAGGCGGAATCAGGAACTTGGGCATTTGAACAGTAGGTCTGCAAAAAAGAGAAAAAAAATTTATCAAATTATAAGAATTGGTTTTCTTTTTCAACCTTATTACATTATTAAAAGAATATTGCCAAAAAAGTTCTATCCAATGCAAAAAGAAAGCAGTACGAGTTTCTAAATTGAAGGAAGTTATTTTTTTTTCTTGAAATGTTAAAATAATATTTGTTTATATTAAACATATGTTACAAATTTCAACTGTAGTAATTATTGACTAAATTTGGATTACAAAACGTCATTAATTTTTTTCATTTCATTTCAGGTACCCCATTAATTTTTTAAACAATCACTCACCCTGCTCAATCCGGTGTAAGGAAACCGCTCGAAGCTCAGGGAGGACTCCTCGCCGGTGTTTCCTTGGCGCTGACCTTTAAGGATTCGGGCAGCTGCCACGGTGGCCAGTGGCATACCGTCGCCCAGGAACAAGATGATGTTTTTGGCCTTTTTGGCGTTTGGCTGCGGTAGCTGCAGCCTCTTGGTGATCTCCTCGTCGGCGATGTCGTACCAGTACTGGGGGTCCATCTCCTCCGGCGGAGTGTACTTGTCGGAGGCCACGCTTGTGGAGAACCTCGACTGGATGAGCTTCCGGCCCGTCAACTCAAGTGCATCGTGCACCTCCTGAACTCCACTGAGTGCTGTTCCGAACAGAACGAAAAGCCCCAGGATCGGAAGGAGAAACTGCCTCTGGGAGGAGCCCATCTTTGATTGCTTTTCTGCTGGTGAAATCTCACTAACTACACCGAGTCTGTCTGGACGGTAAGCTTATATAGCCGGTAGGTAAAGACTGCCTAATTTTAGGTTTATACCCCCTTTATGGACCTTTGGACATATCTCGCCTGGAATGGTATGTCGTATCTCATGAAAAAGCAGTTATATCTAGCATGGCGAATGGTAAGAAGAGAGGGGAAGGAGGTCGGTATAATACCTCCCAGTCTTGGTCTTATCCGAAATTTTTGTCTTTGGGCTCTTAAAGAATATTGTACTTTCGCTCCGCCGAAAACTCAAACATGCTGCTGCCCACTTGTCTGTCTCATGATCCCCGAAATGCTGAAATCACCTGTGCAAAAAATCATCATAGATAACTTAATCGGTTCAGGCACGTTTATAGTCGTAAAAGTTGCCATCATCCTTATGTTTATAATTTTGGGGGAGCGCGAACGTGTGCTACTTATCACCCAACATTTTTGCATTTTCATAATCGCACTTTTTGGCACTATTTTGGACATCGTCTTGTGAAGGTGATATTTTTTGTGGGAGAGCTTTTTTATGTTTAAGTAGAAAAAGCAAATAACGAATTATATTTTAACAACATGTTTGTATTGTTTTGTATTGATCTTTGCAAGAAGTAAAGTTTTTAAATTAACCAAAAGATTTCTGTTGCTTAATAGTTTTTGTCGCAAACATATCGTAATCTTCTTGAGTTCCTTATTTTCTTTGGTTTCCAAATCCTCGACACTTAGTCGTCGCACACCTTCTGTCCGCTTCCAATGCACGAGGCATAAGCCATCAAGTGGGGAATGGTGCTCTGTTGCATCACTCCGGTGAAAAGGTGACTTTGAGGACCGGAAGCGAAGATGCCCACATCCTCGCCGGAGTGCACTCCTTGGTCCTTGTAGATGTAGCTGGGAGTGATGGCATCATCAGCGCCGAGGATGTCATCTAAGGGAATTCGCTGGCCAGTTTCATCCAGATACTGATTGGGTCCCGCTGCATAATTGAGCACAGCGTACTTGACTCCATTCAAATCGGTGTCGTGCTGATTGATGCCCAGGATGGGAGTTCCCCTGCCAGGATATCCAGCGATACTAACGGCGTGTCCATGATCGGCAGTCACCACAATCAGAGTATCCTCGATGTCGGTGATGTCCCTAGCTAATTGAATGGCCTTCTCGAACTCAAGAGCTTCATCTAGAGCATAACCGGCCTTAGTGTAGTGATTACCATAGTCAATAAGACCTCCTAAAAATAAATTATATAACAAATGAGTTCAATTTTAGTACATGAGCAATGATGTTTGAGTAAATAAAGAATTTTAATGGTATAAATTCATGATGGAAAAGCAACCCACCTTCGATAAACACAAAGTATCCATTCTCGTTTTGGCTCAGCTTTTTGATGGCAACCTCTGTGAGTTCGGAAAGGGTTGGCTGGAAGGTTTCATCCGCTTCTTCGTGGAAGTCCATTAATTGAGATTGGAAAAGACCCACGATGCTAGAAACAGCGGAAACATTCACGCTGAGCAGCTGCTTTCGATTGGTGACCAAGACACCTCCTTCGTGAAGTGCTTGCCATTTAGACAGGAGATTCACTCCATCAGAACGCTCTCCAGCATTTCCGTGACTATCCACGATGGAGTTGGGCAGGAACTTGCCCATTCCGCCGCCGAACATGATCTCAAAGTTCTTTCCGGGTGTTTGGGTCACCAGTTGGGTGGCCATATCAATGCACTCGCTGGAATCAACTCCATAACTAGTGACATCAGTGTCGCATTCCCACATTCGATTGGCTGTTTTGGCATAGGCTCCCGAAGGACTCGCGTGGGTCAAAGTGGTGGTGGTTACAATGCCGGTGGATTTGCCGGCATTCTGAGCCCACTCAGCGATGGATGTTAGGCGGTTAGCTGGATCTTGGCTGGCGGTACAGTTGTTATAATCCACAGCAGCACTTACTCCAATGTTAACGATGTTGGTTTTCACTCCGCACAAATAGGCGGTGGCTGTGCAGGCAGAATCGGGCACCTGAGCATTGGAACAATAGGTCTTCAAAGAAAAAGAAAATAAATATTAAAACCTGATTTCAATATTAAATAAATGTTATCAAATAAGTACTATCTAACTAAAAAGAAATTGCAGTAAGTAGTATAAGTAATAGAGGTTTTTTGTAGAAAATATTTTCATTTAACAACAACTTTTCTGTACTTTTGTAGTATTACTGACTTGTTACCAAATCCTTTTAAAAAAAATGGCAACAATCTTCCAATCTATTCCTGTATCTCATATTACTTATTACATTTTTATAGCAAACACTCACCCTGCTCAATCCGGTGTAGGGGAAGCGCTCGAAGCTAAGGGAGGACTCCTCGCCGGTGTTTCCTTGGCGCTGTCCTTTAAGGATTCGGGCAGCTGCCACGGTGGCCAGTGGCATGCCGTCGCCCAGGAACATGATGATGTTCTTGGCCTTTTTGGCGTTTGGCTGCGGTAGCTGCAGCCTCTTGGTGATCTCCTCGTCGGCGATGTTGTACCAGTACTGGGGGTCCATCTCCTCGGGCGGAGTGTACTTGTCGGTGGCCACGCTCGTGGAGAACCTCGGCTGGATGACCTTCCGGCCCGTCAACTCGAGGGCATCGTGCACCTCCCGAACTCCACTGAGTGCCGTTCCGAACAGGACCAGAAGTCCCAGGATCGGGAGGAGAAACTGCCTCTGGGAGGAGCCCATCTTTGATTGTCTTGCTGCTGGTGAAATCTCACTAACTACACCGAATCCGTCTGGACGGGGAGCTTATATAGTCGGTGAATAACGAAGGCCTAATTTTGGAACCTCTGGACATATCTCACTTGGAGTGGTATATCTCTCGAAAAAGCACCTATATCTAACACGGCGCGGAGAGTGGGTGAGAGGGGAAGGAGGCCTGTATTAAACCTCCGAGTCTTGGTCTTATCCGAAAATGATGTCGAAAGAACATTTGACTGTTGCTCTCCCGGACACTCAAAAAATTTTCTGCTCACTTGTCTGTCTCATGATCCCCACGAAAAAGCAGAAGTCACCTGTGCAAAGAAGCATCCCAGATATCTACATAAATCGGTTTAGTCACGTTTATAGTCGTAAAAGTAGCCATCATCCCTACGGTTATTATTATAATCTTGGGGGAACGTGAACGTGTTGCTACTTATCATACAACATTTTTGCATTTTCATTATTTGGCATTATTTTTGGCACATTTTTGGACCTTGTCTAGTGAAGGTGTAGAGTTTTGTTTTTGTTTAAAAAAGAATTGTATTTTAAGGGTCCTATTGCCAAAACAACTTGTTTGTGTTTTTTTTTTTTTTTGATTTCACAAAAAACATTTTTGTGTGGTAATACATTAAATCACTTTTTTGCCAGGCATAACTCTGTGCCTAAATGAAATGAATGCTAGAAACTTTTTAGATTAAAGTAGAGAGAGTATTTTATCAAACCGTTATTTTTACCCAAAGGTTTATTTTTTCGTTTAATAAACATTACTATCTTGGAAAATAATGCCACCGGTCTTGGCCTAAAAACTTTTAAATAACTCCCAAAATTTAAGTTAGCCCAAAATTGTAATGTTCAAGCGGAGTCTAAGCCATCTGGATAAATTGCCCAAATCCCAGGTGGCCGAGTGGTTGGCCGGAATCGATACCATCATCTGCAGCACGGATGGAGTTCTTTGGCAGGAGAACAACCCGATTGAGGGATCCGCGGAAGTCATTAATACCATTCAGGCCAAGGGAAAACGCAGTTTGATGATCTCCAACGATTGCAGCTTGACAACCTCGGGCTTGATTGAAAAGGCTAAATGTATGGGCTTCGAACTGAAAGAGCAGGACATGCTGAGTTCGGCAGGATCCATATCAAGTTATCTGACCGAAAGGAATTTTAAGAAAAAGGTGTTCGTCCTTGGAGGAGATGGCATTTCTAAAGAGCTGAAAACAGCAGGTTTTTGCTCAGAAGTGAACTCACAAAGGTGGGATGGCCAACCAAAATTTGACTTCTTAAAGTCGCTGGAACTCGATCCGGATGTGGGTGCAGTTCTGGTGAGCAGAGGCGATACGACGGACTCGCACCAACTGCTTGTGGCCTGCAATTTCCTTATGAATCCCAAAATCTTGTTCCTGGCCACCTGTACGGATGGATTCCTCCCGTTTGGGGAGCGAAGAATCCCGGATGCCGGAGCCCTAGCAGCTGCCATCGAGGTGATCGTGAAACGCAAGCCGACTCTCCTGGGGAAGCCTAACCCCCGAATTTTGGGAAAGTTACTCGAGTCCGGAGAAATTAAGCCGGAGAAAACGCTCATGATTGGAAACTCGTAAGTTAGTTTTTTGTAAAATCTATATAAATGGAAAAACACGCTTTTATTTGCAGGCTTAAATCCGACATTTTATTTGCCGATATCTGTGGATTTCAATCATTATTGGTGGGTAAAGACAACGGAGCTGTCGAGCAAGCCGAAAAAATTAAAGAGGAGGGAGATGAGAAAAAGATGAAATGTGTGCCAGATACTTATTTGCCAAGCTTGGAACCGTTTCTCGAGTTTTTAAACACCGATGTAAAATCGGAAAAGAAAAACGATGAAAATGCCGATGAAAGCAAAGAGTGTCCAACGGAAACGCAAAAACAACAAGAAAACAAGTGATTTAGAAAATATTTTATATTCAAAAAAAGGCGCCCAGATGCTGAACAGCTGTCTTTGAAAACCAAAGGTTTTGCAACACTGTCGCTGAATGTTGTATATCGATGGGAAGTCTTTGGTGAAAAACAGCTGTTATATTTGAATTTAAATGAGAATAAACTATTAATAAAATAAATTACCTAGACTGTGCTCAAATATGCTTCAAATCGGTTGTTTTCTTAGTGGCCACCAGTGCTGCAAAACACCCTTTCGCCTAGCAGTGTTCTTATTGGAACCGATAGCCCTGTCTATCGATAGTGTCCATCGATAACTGTGCAGCTCTAGAGTGCAGAGAAGCAGAAGACAAAGAAACAAAATGTTCTCTGCAAAAGTTGTGCCCGTTTAAAAGCCAGAAAAGTTCGTGATCTGCACTTTTTGCATCGCCAGTGCATGTGCACCGTGTCTGTATGTGGATTTGGTCTAAAAATACGAGAGGATGAAAATAAACTGCAGGCGAAACACCTTGAGTTGAGTGCAACGGCTGCGAGTGTGTGCGTGCGTTCGCGTGTCCGTGTGAGTTCGCAGTGCGTAAGAGCGAGCGAGTGTGTGTGCGCTCGTGTGCGTGTGTGTATACATGTGGGATAAACGAAAATAAAACAAGGGACCGCTCCCCGCCGATTTTCCGCCACCCCGCAAAGTTCATCCGCCCGAGAATCGGGGGAACTGCATCTCGCACTGAAAATCGGTTCACAATCCACTATCGCCCGCCCGTCGTCCTTCATCCACCTTCCGAGGAAAACAACAACAGCAACCACCAGCGCCCTTGCAACAACAACTGTTACAAAAGAGCAAAAGAGAGAAGAAACACCCCGCACACTCGCACACTTCCAGTCAGACACACACACACTGAGTCCTGTTGTCCTCGCCAGAAGTTCGAATTTCAATCCCAAAATCACAATCGTAATTGTAATCCGCCAAAATGGACTCCGATATCGAAATGGATCTGGAATCGGACAACGACGGGGAGTACGATGATGACTACGACTACTATAATACAGGTAAGAATGGGTTCCATTTAAAGGGTTTCCTCCTGACAACAATCAGCCATCGATTTAACTGAGTCTAAATAGGGGTACGACTGTGTCTGTGAGGAAGTACACACACACACACACGCTAGCACACTCATGGGTTGGTTATTCACCTTTTTGGGAGGCAAGGCCCATAAGACCCGAGAATTTGCATTCAGCACTTGACATTCGCCTTGGGTCCCAATAGCCATGCCACAGTCCCCACGCCCCCCACTCAATCCCCGCCCTTTCTTTGCTGACCATGAAGCTGAAATTATGGAATTGAACTTGAAACCAACACACACGCACGTAGCTACACATAGCGAAAAAGTGTAGTCCACTGAGTATTATTAATATGTGAACAGGTTCGATAAGGGTTACCTTAAGCTAAATCTATTGTTTTGCCTTGCAATAAGGGTCGAGGTAATAATAGTATTTATAAAGTTGAAGCTTTTAAACTCTGACTACTAGATCGGCAATAATAATTTTGGTTTTTTTATGCTGAGCCTTATGTTTGGGAATGCCTGATTTTTATAGAAAGATTTTATATTTATATTTAATTTCTCTCAGTGTATAAGCGAGTACAATTCGTAGTTGCGAGTTGCGGCTGATTGCGAGGTTTGTGTTTTGTGGCTGGCTTCATTATTGCCCGCCACTTTACTCACGTTCTTCGTAGCTCCACAACCCACACATGCACACCAAAACACTCACACACACACACCATCATAAACTCAGGTGCGTGCTCGAGTACACAGTTGCATTTTGTTTTGTGCCCGCTCTTCCGTCAACTCGGTCTCCGCTTCTTGACCTGTCCTTATTGTTCCGACCTGGCCAAGACGCCTCGTAAGTTGCGAGTCGTAACACAACACAACCTTCAATCAGATACCAGATACCCGTAACAGCGAGCATTTGTATGGCAGCCTTGTCGGCTGAGGGGCTTATTTTGTGATTTAGCAATACAATGTTGCTAGCAACAATCGAATATTATTTTCAGTTTTCTTTTACATTTTTTGTGACTCAATAAGTACAACAATTAAAGTCAACACTTACAAACAATCGTAAAAAGTTGGTCTGGAAAAGCTAAACTTCCCCAAATCAAAACCACTGTAACTCGAACCAGTTTTGTACAATAAGGGTTTATCAGTTCCCAAATCGTATGTAACTGCAAAAGTGACTCAAAGTAAATACAATCAACCCTTGTTGTGCTTCATAGTGGATCCAATATCACAATTGGGATTTTAGCTAAAAAAAATGATGACATTTGTTAAGCTACAAAGTTTCAATGCAATGATTAAAAAGAATAACACTTAAAATATAAAAAAAGGTTATGACTTCTCCCTAAAAATTGGAATTGATGTATTTTTCCACATTAGTATTATTATTATTGTTCGGTAGACTAATCGTTTGTTCAGATGACTTCAAATGACATGTTATATACATATTTACCCCTAATGCTTTTATAACTATTAATTAAGGAATTTTTTATTCGAATACATACACTTTTTGTACATACATATGTATAAATTTGTTAAACATGATATATTTTTTATGTATGAAGGATAGACTTACCCCATAAACTAAAAAAACACTTTTACTTAACCTCTTCCTTCATCCTTGCAGGCGAGGACTGCGATGTTGAACGCCTGGATCCGAAGCGCGCCGACCCCGAGTACTTCGAGTTCGACTGCCTCACCGTCGAGGACATCGAGAAGCTGCTGAACGAGCGCGTGGAGAAGCTGAACACCATCCTGCAGATCACGCCCTCGCTGGCCAAGGTGCTGCTGCTGGAGCACCAGTGGAACAACGTGGCCGTGGTGGAGAAGTACCGCCAGGACGCGAACGCGCTGCTGGTGACGGCGCGCATCAAGCCGCCGACGGTCGCGGTGGCGGATACCGCTTCCACGAGTGCAGCGGCGGCCAGTGCCCAGCTGCTGCGACTGGGGAGCAGTGGATACAAGACGACGGCGTCGACGGCGCCGCAGTATCGCAGCCAGATGTGCCCCGTGTGCGCCAGCTCGCAGCTGGGCGACAAGTTCTACAGCCTGGCCTGCGGGCACTCGTTCTGCAAGGACTGCTGGACCATCTACTTCGAGACGCAGATCTTCCAGGGCATCTCCACGCAAATTGGCTGCATGGCGCAGCAGTGCAATGTGCGGGTGCCGGAGGACTTGGTGCTAACACTCGTGACGCGGCCTGTGATGCGGGACAAGTACCAGCAGTTCGCGTTCAAGGACTACGTGAAATCACATCCGGAGCTGCGCTTCTGCCCCGGACCCAACTGCCAGATAATTGTGCAATCATCGGAGATCTCCGCCAAACGTGCCATCTGCAAGGCTTGCCACACGGGCTTCTGCTTCCGGTGCGGCATGGACTACCACGCGCCCACCGACTGCCAGGTGATCAAGAAGTGGCTGACCAAGTGCGCCGACGACAGCGAAACGGCCAACTACATCAGCGCCCACACCAAAGACTGCCCCAAGTGTCACATCTGCATCGAGAAGAATGGCGGCTGCAACCACATGCAGTGCTTCAACTGCAAGCACGATTTCTGCTGGATGTGCCTGGGCGATTGGAAGACGCACGGCTCCGAGTACTACGAGTGCTCCCGCTACAAGGACAACCCCAACATTGCCAACGAGTCGGTGCACGTGCAGGCGCGCGAGGCGCTCAAAAAGTACCTGCACTACTACGAGCGCTGGGAGAACCACTCCAAGTCGCTGAAGCTCGAACAGCAGACGATCGACCGGCTGCGCCAGCGCATCAACTCGAAGGTGATGAACGGCAGCGGCACCTGGATCGACTGGCAGTATCTGTTCAATGCGGCGGCGCTGCTGGCCAAGTGCCGGTACACCCTGCAGTACACCTATCCGTACGCCTACTACATGGAGGCGGGTTCGCGGAAGAATCTCTTCGAGTACCAGCAGGTATGGCTAACCATTCTTCATATTTATTGAACGTTTATCCAATAAATGTCCTTGCTTTGCAGGCGCAACTGGAGGCCGAGATCGAGAATCTGTCGTGGAAGATCGAGCGAGCGGAGACAACGGACCTGGGTGATCTCGAGAATCAAATGGACATCGCTGAGAAGCGTCGCACCACCCTACTCAAAGACTTCTTCCCAGTGGACGCATAGGCAAATGACAAGCTTCCATGGTCACCAGAGGAGCGGCTTGTCCCGTTTAGCACAAATAACAACTTCGATTGACTGTTGACAAGCCGAACGAACGCAACTCAACGCAACGCAACGCAAGACGACACGACAGTATAGAGACGCTTATTTAAATTAAATTATACACATATTTACATGTATCCATCTAGCAGTAGGCCCAACGACGTGTAGCTAATTTTTAAATTAAACTAATAATCAAGTGCATATAGACTAGAGTATAGAGTACAGAGCATAGTCGACTACTTGAAGTATAAATATAATAGTTTGTGACATTCGAACTCACTCAAAATGATCGGTGTAACTGCAATACAACGCCTTGCGCAGAACGTTAACGATAGTAGCTATAGCCGTAGCGATAGCTATACCATAACTCTAACTATAACTATAACTATAAAATCTAGCAACTGACAAACAAAAACCAGACGCATTTCAGTGGCCAAGTGTTCCAACAGTTTTCCAAAAACTAGCCCAAAACGACCCGACGAAATGCAGAAACAATTCTAAATTTAAAGCGCCACAAATCAAGCAATTGTAGATCAAAGACCGCGAATGGAGAACGGTCCATTGGCTAGACCCTAAGATTTAAATCTCGTATTAACCCCGGGCTGAGCAGCAGCTGCGTTAACAGCATCAAGTATTCGTAATCTGTATCTCGTAGCTAACCGCAGCACATCAATCGAACTCAAGAAGTCTTGAACTATAACGAATGAATCTAGGTACTCCCCCGATTCCCACGATCCCCTGACCCCGTTCCTTCTCGATTCTCACTCGACTCTCGATTAACGTTGTAAGCTGAATCATAAATTATATTCTAGGATTACGCTATGTATGTATGCTTATGCGACTGAATTTGAATTAAATTTACACTAGATATACAACTACACAAAGTAACTGATTTTTTAGACTGTGGGCTGTAAGCTTGCACTTTGTACTAAAAGCTGTGAAGGAGCTTTTTTTGACTTTTGGTTGAGTGAGTTGGTAAGGAGCTTAAACTCAGGTTTGAGTGAGAGTTTTGGGTGGACTTTCACTCAAGTTTACTTTATCTTATGATTCCCAACTCAAGTTCCTCTCTAATCTTAAAAATATATTTCTTGGGAATTTTGAATTTGTTTGACTTGTATTTGCGGTTTTTAATTGTTACACTTGATTTTGTATAATTAAAATTATTTTTAGTTTAATTTTTTGTCTATTTTGGAATTAAAAAAAAATTTATTTAGCTTCATTTCTTACTTTTCCTACTGCCCCTTGCACTCTTCCTGCTGGCTCTTGCACTCTTCCTGCTGCCTCTTGCACTCTTCTTGCTTTCGAAGGTAACCATGGGATTTTGAGGTTCTGGGGGAGGCTGGCTGGCCAGGCTAAACAACCGGCACTCGGACCGCTCCTTGAGCAAACTGTTTGCAAACTTCTTCGCTCCCGAAATCTTGGTCACCCTCACATTGTTCATGTTGTCCACCCTATTCGCAGGATAGACCTCCACATCGCAGCAGTTCTTTATGAGCAGCAGGTCACTGTTGTTGGTTATTGGGTACCGGAAGTAGAGATCCCTACCGCAATCCAGACACTTGTTCTTCATGCGTTTCAGCTGAAATTTCACCGGATAGCATCGACCCACCATGGTGTCGTGGTCCAGAATAACCGAGTGCTGGTAGGTGGGTTTCGGCCGGGGACGCTTGGTCCACTGTAAATTATATCCAGTAATAAAAACAGCAATGAATTATAAAGCTAACTGCATATTTTAAAATTATTTTTATGGGTAACTAACCCAACCAAATTAAAAACGGATCTGAAACCAACTATTTACCAGAAATTATATTTATTTTGATTTTCGTGCAATTGTATTATTTATAGAAATGAAAACGATAATTTATAATCTGTAAAACTAACGTAATAAAGCTCTAAAGTAAGTTTAGATCTTTTATTCATTTAAAGTTTAGAAAAAATATACGAGTATATATCAAAAAGTAACTCGTACCTCATCCAAGTGCAAATAGGTGCGAAGCGGTCTGCAGGCGGCCGAGCAGAGATTGGGCCGGATGTCCTGCTCCTGGGCCACGCACATGGTGCAGCACCGCAGCTTGTCCTTGTCGGACTCCAGGAGCGGCCTTCCCTTGCTGCACTCCGCCCGGATGTTGATCTCCTGGCGAACGGGTCCGTCCGGTTCGATGGTGGCCTGATCGGCCTGCGGTTCGATGGTGGCCTGAATGACATCGGCCAGAGGTTCAACCTCGCCAGGCAAAGGCGCCGTCACCTTGTAGTCGATACATGGTCCTTCGGTCGATTCATAGCACTTTCGACAGGGTCCTGGGACAAAATTTTTGAGGATCCACCGCCGACAACTGCTTTCCGGAGCGGACATGTTGCAGGAAAAAATGGATTGTTAAGGGGAAGGAAACAATTTTGAAATAAAATAAGAAAGTCTCAAAGTTGAGACTCCATTCGTAGCATGTTTATTTGGCTTAAAATAAGTAAAGTTATTTCTCTTGGGATTTTATATCCACAGTTTTCAATTCAACTTCCTTATTTTTTGAGCTGCCTTTCGGCGACTCCTCTTCATCAAAAATCTTGAGATCCTTGGCATGGTACCAAACTATGATATTTAGAAATCCTCCCACAAGTATAAAGGAGGCGGCCGTAAGATTCAAAGCGTATCTGTATTAAAAAGAAACAATATAATAAAAGAATAAAAATAAAAAGTGTTTTATGTGATAATATTTAGTATATCCTACCTCAATGATTCCGTGTCGTAGAGCCAACAGTTTCCCTTGTTGGTGCAGGTTTTACCCCACACCAAACAGTAGTTGTCAATCAACCAGCCAAAGAAAATGGGACTGGGAATGAAACCAAGTAGAGAAGCTGCCATTGAACCCAATCCCAATGCAAAGGTTTTGTCCTCTTCAGGAATGCAGCGCAGAGCTATTAGCAGATTTGTGGATTTACTAGAAGCACCCACGAGTTTCAGGAAGCACATCATGGCCAGGAAAACAAGGAACTCATTGAAGCAGTCCACTGGACAAGTTCCATCCACTGCAAATTGAGTCTGAAATAAAAAATGTATAAGTAAAATATACTGAAAGGTATTCCGTTTTATTACCTCCGTTTCTGAGATCAAACTTGAAGAACCCAAGCACTGGCAGTTAGTGTAAATGGTCCTTCCCAGTTCATCCTTCGTCCTTTCCGTACATCCTGCATGACAGGGCGAGATGAAGGTGATGTTATCCGGACTGCAAACCGGAGCATAGTGCACATAGTCGCAGTGGCAGGATGCACTGCAGCTGTTCTCCGCGGACAAAGTGGTCAGGGAATTCAATCTGTCACTGCCTTCACATCCGATGGCCACATAGCAAAGGATTCCGGCCACCGTCACAAAGTCCACGATGGCATTCCAGGAGGCCATTGCCCGGGCACTCGGTTTGTACTTCGAGATCACGTATCCTGAAATAAGAACTCCTGCGGCCGAGAATCCCAGGGCTACAGTTCCAGTTGCCATAGTTGCCATGGCTGCCGATTGTCTGTATTGGGTTTCTATATACTTTGGAGTGAATATCCAATAGGCCATATAGCCGAAGAAGTAGAATATGGATGCTATGGTGTTGAAGATATACACCTTGTTCTTTCCCAGCCTCCTTACGGTTTTCATCATGTCCTTAAAGGATCGTTCTTTGATGGGGAGCGACTGTCTTCTCTCTGAATGCTTCAGTTCGAGTCGCCTCTTTCGGGAACTGGGCAGCTCCTTGGGAAACATAAACAGGAACAAGGCTGCAATCAAGGTCATGGCAGCCAGGACTAGCCATCCCAGCCACCAGGCGCCCATCCAGCGAGGGTCCTCCCTTCCGATGAGAGGTTCCAAGCTGGGTTCAATGTACAAACGCAGGCAAAGAGCTGCCAAAGAATATCCAATAGCTGGACCAAGCATTCTCAGGAACATGGACATGCCTAAAAGAGGGATAAAATTTGATATAAAATTGTTTATTGTGGGGGTGGGACACGTTGGGTTAAAAGGTTATATAAATAAAATGTTAAACTGCTTTTAAACAAAGCTAATCCATATCAAATACTTATATTTATTTTAGTATCACGCGTCTAGTTTCGTTTCAAATGTTTGTTCAGGTGTTTTACAACCTAAAAAAATTAGTCCTAATCTTACAGTGAATTCTTACATTGGAAAATAAACAGGAAATGAAAAAAAAAAACAATTAAATATTCTACCTATTATTCTACTATCAAATAAAAAAAGTATTACTCTACCAAGAACAAATAACACTAATTGAAACAAAAAACAGTTTTAATAGTGAAACCAATTGCCGAAAACTAACCTTTCCCAATTACAGACCACCTCCCTTTAATTATTATACAATACTCACTCAGCAGGGCAGGTGTTTTTGACTTGGTGGCATTATCATCCATGTAGGCAATTCCCAAAGTGTAGAAAAGAGCCTGTCCCACTCCCGAAATAAGTTGGGCTGCAAACAGAAACACCTGTGGCACCGACTGGCCCACCTCCTGAATACATCCTGATGCACTTGACTGGCATAGTTTCTTATCCTTCTCCTGCCTGGCCAAAGTTTCGTTAACCTGGCCAAATTCACGGGTTAATTTTAGGGCATCCTCGCCAGCTCCATAAATAAAGTGCAGGGAGCTCGTTAGCAGGCAAAAGGCCACGATGGTCAGCAGACCTAAATGGGACACTATATTACTGATATTGAAACGAAGGATCTCAGATCTCAACTCACCTATTCCCATCCAGCGGGGTCGATGCCCATTTCCCGCATAATAACCCAACAGGGCGGCTGTTAGCATCGTGCTGATATCATTTCCCACCGAGATAATGCCGGAAACCTTTGTTGGTATTTTATAGCGCTTCTCCAAGGTCGTAATTGTCGCATTGAAGTAGGCGAAGGTCATTGTCATCACACAACCAGCCAGACCGTACAGAATCACATACATTTTCTCAGTTGCAAATCTAGAAAAGTAATTCTTTACGATAAAGATAGAGGTGCATTAAAAGAGATCTTACCTTTGCATAAAGGAACCTCTGAAGATCCAGAAACCACAAGTTGTATCCTTACTTCCATCCTCTCCTATTTCTTTTTCTTTTTCAGGGAAATCCTTTAGTCTATCTGAGCTAACCAAAGCCTTTTGGAGGAAGGGCAATGTTTCACTTGACTCCAAGGTCGACTTCTTTTGCTCTTCCGACATCTTTCATCTCCGAGCAGCTCGGCTGAACTGGTACTATCTATCAGAGATCTCCACACCATATAGCCGACTGCATCTCATGGATAAACAGCTTAGAGATCTTATCAAAGCCGTCAGATTAGACAGTGAGGATCAGACAGGCGACACTTATATACTGTGTATGAAAATAAATTTTAGGAACAGCTAATTGACGGAGCTTCTTTGTCGTACTTATCTTTTTCGGAAACGTGTGAAATTCTGGCACAGAGACTTCACTTTTGTGGGCCACGTACCCCCAGATAAAAATATGTTTGCCAAAGTATTATAAATAAATCTTTCATTTATTTATGGAAGCTCTTTTCCTTATCAGTAACAATTACTTTTGGTTTCTCCTTAAGCTCTATTACTTCATCCTGTTTGGTTTGATCTGCCTTCTCCTCTTCATCGAAGACTTTCATGTCCTTGGCGTGATACCATACGCCAATATTCCAAAAGCTGCCCAGGAAAATCAGAGAGGCACTTACTAGATTCATGGTGTACCTAAGGAAAGGATTATTAGATTAATATTAATTATATATTTTCCACTAAATAAATTATATGTACCTCAAGGACTTGGTGTCGTATATCCAACAGTTACCCTTGGAACTACAAGTTTTACCCCACACAAGACAATAACTATCCAGCATCCAGCCAAAGACAATGGGACTTGGAATAAAGGTGAGCACCGAGTAAACCATACTTCCAAATCCCAAGGAAAAGGTTTTATCCTTAGAGGGGACACATCGTAGAGCTAATAGTAGGTTACTCGATCTCCCAGTGGCTCCAACGAATTTCAGAAAGCACATGACGGTCATGAAAATTAAAAACTGCTTACTGCAATCCACCGGACAAGCTCCATCCAAAGCGATTTGTGACTGGGATGCAAGTGAGTTTAGGTTAGATAATAAAGTTTCATTGGGCATGGTTCCCATGCACTGACACCCTGTGTAAATGGTCCTTCCCAGTTCATCCAATCCCTTTTCAGTGCATCCCGCATGACAGGCGGATATGTAGGTTGTATTTTCTGGACTGCAAACAGGAGCATAGTAAACATATTCACAATCACAAGCTGCACTGCAACTATCGTTGACTGGCAGAATGGATAAGGAGTTGGCTCTATCACTTTCATCGCATCCTACAAGGACATAGCACAGGAGTCCTGCCACCGTGAGGTAATCCACCACGAAGTTCCAGGCAGCCATTGCCCGTGCACTCGGTTTGTACTTGGAGATCACATATCCGGAGATCAGAACTCCTGCTGCCGAGAATCCCAGTGCCCAAGTTCCTGTTGCCATTGTGGAAGTGGATGCAGATTGACGATACTGAATCTCAATGTACTTTGGTGTGAAAATCCAGTACGGCATGTAGCCAAAGAAGTACAAAATGGAGGCCAGCATGTTGTAGACATAAACCTTATTGGCCGCCAGTCTTTTTAGGGAGTCCAGCATATCTTGAAATGATCGCTCTGCCAGCGGAATATCCTCCTCTCCATCTGCTTTCAATCTTCTGGCCTTGGCTTTTGGCATCTCCTTGGGAAACATTCCCACAAACACTGCTGTTATAAGCAGGATAACTGTGAGTAGGATCCAGCCCAACCACCAAGCTCCCATCCATCGAGGATCTTGTGTGGTAATCAGGGGGTTTCTTTAAGGGATCGATGTACAAACGGAGACACAGGGAGACCATCGAGAAGCCCATTGCAGGACCCAACATTCGTATAAAGGTGCTCCAACCTTGTTAAAAAATTGCATTAATATCTAATAGATATTTTGGGAAGCTATTCTTTGATAATACTTAGCATGGCTGGCGTCTTGGAACTTGCAGAATTATCGTCCATGTAGGAAAGACCCGGCGCATAGAATAGCGAACATCCAATTCCACCGATAAAGTTTGCTACGAAAAATAGAATTATAGGTGTGTAGTCCCCATCGTAATTTCCCTCTCCACAATGTGAGTCTTTCTTAAGGCAGAGGGAGTCATCTTTCCCCGTGGAATTCAAAGTAGTATCAAGGGCTTCCTCAAGTCCGTATTCTTCTGTTAATCTCAAAGCTTCTTCGCCAGGGCCGTAGAAAAAGTGTGGTGTCAACATGAGCAGGCAAAACATAGCTATAATAATGAGGCCTAAAAAGTCCAAAATGATTAAGTCAAGTAGTTTTCCCGAGTCGTATGGTATTACCCAATGCAACCCAACGTGGCCGATGTCCTCGACTCGCATAGTAACTCAAAAAGGCCGATGAGAAAACGGTGCTTATATCATTGCCCACTGTAATAAGACCCGATATCTTGGTGGGTATATTAAAGCGCTTCTCCATCGTTGTAATGGTGCCAGTAAAGTAGGTGAATGCCATGGCTAAAAAGCAGCTAGCTATCCCGTATATAATCACAAAGCAGTGAGCAGTGGCAAATCTGGAGATTGGAATTACTCACTTACTACTTTACCATAAAGATATAAACAGAACTCAACGATATACCTCTGTAAAGCAGGTCCCTTGAAGATCGAAATCCCACACAAGGTATCAGAAGACTGTTTCTCCTCCTTCTGAGTTTCATTTCCACCCGCCTCCTTATCCTTTAAAAACCTGGAGGTCTCGATCTCTTCACTGGCCATTTCGATCCTTCTCTGTCGAACTACTGGAAAACACTGAAGCCTCAATTCAGAGGCAAGTTACAATCGCCTCGTGGCAAACAGAAAAGCTTTGAGATAACGGATAACAACCTTCGTACCGCTAAATCCGTCTAATATTTAGCTTTCTAATCGGGATCTGCGCTTTAATTGTCAGCAATTAACATATATACAACCGGTGTGGGCAACCTTACTGTTACAATACCTTTTATTATGGTACTGGACTCTACGGGGGAAATCACACATGGATATTGACAAAACAAGGCACCAAAACTCTCACTCACACAGCACTTCTTATTGGTAATATAGTAACTTATATCTAGATCTCTGTATTCTTCTCGTTGTTGGCCTCCTCCTCGTGCTGAACGATCTTCATCTCCACCTCCTTGACGTCCTCGTCGAAGATTTTCAGGTCCTTGGCGTAGTACCACACTCCTAGATCGAAAATGGCTCCAATGGCGATAAAAACAGCTGCGGTGAAGTTCAGGGTGTATCTGGAATATATATTATAGGTGATATATATATTTTACTTTTATTATGATAGCCTTACCTCATGGAGAGCGGATCGTAGAGCCAGCAGTTTCCCTTGTTCGTGCAGGTCTTTCCCCAAACCAAACACACTCTATCGAAGACCCAGCCAAAGAATATCGGACTGGGAATGAAGGCCAGCATCGAGCACAGGGTCATGCCGAAGCCCATGGCAGCCGTTTTGTCCTTCTCCGGAACACAACGAACGGAGACCAGGAAGTTGGAAGCCCTGCCACTGGCTCCCACGAACTTCAGGCAACACATCACGGCCAAAAAGGCCACGAATTGCGTCCAGCAATTTACGGGACAGGCTCCTGGCATCGCTTGACCATTTGCCAGTGCCTACGAATTTAGTTGAGATTAAGAGTTTTAAAGTTTTAGGGGATAAGTATAAAGGATATACCTCGATTGGAGTGGCCATCGAAGTGTCCAGATTGATGTTGTCACTATACAAATCATCGCTGGTTAGGCGCTTGAATTGACTTGTGGTATTGGTGGTCTCGTCGGAAGGAATGCAGGAGCAGTCGTAGAAGACCTGTGGGAAGGAAAACAAGAATAAATTAATAATATTAGTTAATATAATATAAGCTATAAATTGTTTCGAATTTTAAAAATAATTCTTTATACAATTCTGCGGCTTAGGAAACTTTAGTTTGTATCTAACTACTTTAATCTAGTTATGTGGGATATGGGTATTTAAGGTTTCAATTGCACACATTTTACCTCAAGTGTGTAGAATTATTTTTTGAAGATTTCTTTGTTACACAATAACAAAATTTGTTAGCAAATAACTAAACATATGCTGTGCTTAATATTACTTTAGATTAGCTACCCACCTTTTTCCCCTCCGAATTCACATGCAATCTTTTGCATCCCGCGTGACAGGCGGATATATAGGTCATATTGTTCTCTCCGCACACCGGAGAGTACCGGACGTAATCGCAGGAACAGGCGGAGTTGCAAGTGGTGGCATTTCCGGTCAGGGAGCTATCGTGGATATTAACGATCACGGAGCTCTCGTTTCCGGGACAGCCAATGAAGGCGTAAGCCAGGATTCCGGCTACCGTGAGGAAGCCCACAATTACATTCCAAGCTGCCATATATCTTGCTCTGGGTTTATACCTCGAGATGATAAATCCGGAGAGCAGAACTCCCACGGCAGAGAAGGCCAAGGCTACGGTTCCGGTGACCATGGATGAAGTGGCCGCCGATTGGCGATACTGCACTTCGATGTACTTGGGTGTGAAAATCCAATAAGGAGTATATCCCACAAGGTAGAAAATACTCGAGAGCGTGTTGCACATGTATGTCTTATTGGTGATCAGCCGGCGGAAGGTTTTCAACATGTCCTGGAAGGATGCCTTGGCTTCCGTAGGTGTCTTCTGATCCAATTCCGCAGTCAGGGTTTCCTTTTCCTTGTTTTTCAGCGAAAGACGCTCCTTTTCGCGCCTGCGATTCTCTTCCACTTTTCTTCGGGCCACTGCTCTCGGGAGTTCCTTGGGAAACATTGAGAGGAAAACCCCGGAGAAGGACAACAGACCACCCATTACCAGCCAACCCAGCCACCAGGCGCCCAGCCATCTAGGATCCTTGTTGTTGATCACAGGATGCATCTGGGGAGCGATGTACAATCGAAGGCAGAAGGATGCCAAGGCGTATCCAATCGCAGGACCCAACATACGAAGGAAGTACGAGAGACCTGGAAAATATGAGGAAAATATCATTTTTTATTGAACTTTAGAGTTGCCTTCATGATTTTATGGCTTCAAATAATGCCACTGGCTGCACTTATGGTTATCTTCTTAAAGATAGGCATATCTTTTAAGTTTAAATTACATACAGTTGATCATTAGTTTGTTTAACGTCTAAGAAAATATTTTGCTATAGTCTTAGAAAAGATAAATTTATACTACCATGCATTAGCCAACCATATTTTATCTCGATTCACTTCAATTGCCAAGGCAAAATATGCATGTCGCTTCGGCATTGTAATAATATCAAAAAATATTCTGAATACTAAAATTATTTAAATTTCGACGACATTTGTTTGTTTTAAGATAGGTATATCTTTAAAGATTGAATTACATAAAGCCGATCATTAGTTTGTTTAGCGTCTAGGAAAATATTTTCCTATGGTCTTAGAAAAGATAACCTTATACAATCCGGAATCAGACAACCAAATATTATCTTGATACACTTCAATTGCCTTGTCAAATATGCATGCTGCTTCTGTCTTGTAAATTTACTGATATAAATCTTTTTTGATTACGATATTTATAGTTATAATTGCCTTTTCATTAAGAAATTAAATATTTTATTTAATAAGTATTTGGGACATCATCCTATTTATGTAGATATTATTTGAAAATCATTTGTTTGTGACTATAATGAAATTTTTTTTTTTTTAATGGGCAGAACGATTAAGGAGTTGTCATATCTTTTTTGGTTTTATCTGGAAAAACCCGTAAGTGAGAGATTTGTATGTATACTGTATATGATATCTTTCACTGACCGTGTTTATAGTCTTGGAAATCCCTAAAGATGCTGATGCTAAACTTGGCCCTGACTCAGTGCCATAACTTGCCACTCCCCCAATTAAGATTGTTATGGAGGTGCTAACTTATCTAACTAAGATTGCTGTTTAGTTCAGATTAATCTGGTTAAAGGCTACTCACTCAGCAATGCAGGTGTCTTGGATTTCTTGGTGTTATCATCCATGTAGGATACACCCAATGTGTAGTACAGTGATCCCCCGATTCCGGATATGAACTGTGCCACAAAGAGCAGGAGTTGAGGGGCAAAGTTACCCTCGCCGACTTCACATTCAGCTCCTCCTCCATTTAAACGGCAAAGGGTTTTGGTTCGCTGCTCCTCGATTGCCTCCATGGTGGCATTTTCATCGGGTAAACCCCCAAATTCCGAGGTGAGAGCCAGTGCATCCTCACCAGGTCCGTAGAGGAAATGCGGAGTTGTGGTCAAAACACAGAAACAAACAATGGTAAGGAGACCTATTAAATTATGATTTAAAATATTATATCTTCTGATGTACTTATATGTAATGCAATATGGTATATCTTACCAAACCCAATCCACCTGGGTCGATGACCCTTTCCCGCATAGTAGGCTAGAACCGCAGACACCAATGTTTGGCTTATGTCATTGCCCACCGAGATAATTCCTGTGTTCTTCGAGGGTATCTTGAAGCGCTTCTCTATTGTGGTGATCGTGCCATTAAAGTAGGCATATGTCATTGAAAATATACAGCCGACGATGCCGTAGAGTAAAACATACGCTGTTTGATTGGCAAACCTACAAGAAGACCATAAATAATAGTTAATAATTATGTTTATTATTTGAATCTATCAGGAGTTGATCTCAATTGATCCAACGAAACATTATTTGAGTGTTTACTTAATGTTAAGTACTTAATCGTTAAATAAATAAGAAAATTATATAAACAATTAAAACAAAATTGCAAAATCCTTATATCTCTTAACCTTACATTTTCGTAATTTAACTCTTACTCATTCAAAAATATTTAAACTCACCGCTGGTAGAACTTTCCCTTGAAAATCCAGAAGCCGCAGGTGACATTCTTCTCCAGCGGCGATTCCTCCAGGAGTCTGTTGATTTCCGCGGTGATGAGGCGTTCCTGCTCGGATTTCTGTTTCTTCTTTTTGGATTTTCCCTTCTTGGGAGTGGATTCATCTCCGTTCAGATTGTTTCCCGCCTCCTTTTCCTTGTCGTAGGTCTTTCCATTGTCCAAAAGTCTGGACTCCACATCGGACTCATCGCGGGATTCCTGGGCAGCAGCCTCGAGATCCTGATCCTCGGTCGGCAAACCACTGGAATTCTCGCTCTGCACCATCCTAATCCTAATTGGCTTCACTTGGCTCGCGATCTCACTGGGCACATTGGTCTCTTCCGGCTTTTGGTCACCGAACTCTCACACACACTTGCACACTTGCTACGGAATTTAGCTGGCACTTGATTGCTTAATTTTCGCCAGATCTTTCACGGGCAATTAGCTGATTACTGAGGGCTTCGGATCGGATCGGATGAGATGAGATGGGATCGGATGGGTTCTAGAAAACAACCTGGCGCGTGGACGAGCGCGGATCGAGTGGCATGATGTGCATAGATGTCCGGGGATCTTAACTCTCTTAACTCTTTAGATGGCGGCGCTGTTCCGAAAGTTTGCCTCAAATATTTTATCAAAATATTATCTCTGGAACGAGAGTCATCATCATAGCCCCCAATCCACAGAGCTAATCTTTGGCGATTTCCGAGACTCGTTGATGTCCTCTCATGCTGCTTCTGTTGCCGCTCGTTGGATTTACGATTTGTTTGCGGGTTAAGTTCGGGTACTAAAATTATAAAGTATATAGTATAGAGTGCAGAGTGTGTATGGTTGATAAGGCCGGCTCCAGACGGAAGAGTTTATCTTAAAACAGCGGGATTCGGCGGGTTTGCACATTGATGAGCACGTAAATCTGAGCGCCAGTCATTGCCCACGATTTCCATGGAAGTGCTAACTAAATATAAAGAGATACCCCCCTGGACAAACACTGTAGTGCACGGTCATTGTTTCTGTTTGGGATTAGGCATGGGATCAATGTGATATAGTCACTATCTTTTTCTGTGTGTGTGTGAGTGGCAAATTAGTTTAGTCGGAGAGCTGGAGAGTAAATTCGCCTTTCGGGTATTTCGTTTATTATTGTCAGTCTCGATTTGAGCAGAAGAATCTTTGCTCAAGCCCCCAACGTGTGCTCTATTATTTAATGTGCTCCCCCCTATATATGTGTTAGTAAATGTGTATGTGTGTGTGGTGTGTGTGTGGAGCTAATTCACATAGCATATTTAAATTTATGCGCAGCTTATCACTTGAACTTTATCTTGATTGCGATGTTCTTGATAAACGCGTGAATAGCAACTTTTCCACAACTTCGTCCCTTGAACTTTCCCGCTTTTCACACTTCGGGCTAATTTCTGTAATTTATTTGCCCTTGCATAACTTACGAGTGCTATTACTTTGATTTGTTTTGTTTCGATCGCGGGCTTTGCGGATCGGGAAAAGACAGTAGCTAAAGCGATCTCGATTCGGGAAAGACCGTAAGCGAACTAAACTAAACTAATCTAAGCTCACTCATCTCAGGAAGATCTCTGCCGAGTCCACTCAGAAAGCTTAGCTTGGATTCGGGTTCAGATTCGGGTTCTTTATCTTCGTATTTCGACTGTGTCACTGACATCAATTCCCAGTCAAAATAGTTAGCTCGCAGGTATCTCTATGTACAAATATATCCAAGAGATTCGCTCAACTCAATTGAATGACAGCCCACGAAAGTGAAACCATTGAGTAATTATGGGCCTTTACAAAGGGCATCTCAGATTATTTTCTTTGCTTTGGAGTGAGGAGATGTCAATATTATGAGCAAAGAAGTACAATATTTATGTATTTTCGGCTTCCAATTTAAACCTCCCAAAGTACAAGTCGCATTTCAGCTGAACAAAAGAAACCCACGTTTGAAGAAGCATAATTCCATGAGGAAGTAAATCGAACAGCTCAAACTAAACTGCTGCCAATTTGTGGCATTATATATTATCGATATCTGGCGACTGCGGTCGGTTGCCATCCGTATCCATCCACCCCGAGACGCTCGAGTATCGGGTTTCCAAGAAAAGCTCGTTCCTTTCCACTTATTTTTTAGATCGTAAACGATGAGCTTACACTATGCCCTACGCCATCAAATTGAATTCAAATTGCAATTACAGCGACCACATGTGTAAGCGTTGGCAGTAGCTTAAAAATAATCCCAAGGCATCGGCCAAAACACACATATGCAGATGGATCCTTAAAGGACATCATATGTTCCGGCAGGCAATAAAAATCAAAGGCATAATTTCACGATTTCAATTGAGCGCCAATAAAACGGCAGCCCAAGCATGTTTATTATTATTTCTTATTATTATTTTTCATTTTCCCCAACACCAGCTGCCGTCTCTTTCGCTTTTCCGATTTCCCGAGCTCTATATTCTATCGCGTTTCGCTGGGAAAACAGGAGCAAATGTGACCGCGGTTCTTAGGGGGGATTTCCATATACCATTGAGGCTCAGCATAAATAACAACAAATGAGGCAGTTCGCGGAAAAGGGAGAAAGATATACCCGCACAATGTAGCATCTTTATCTTTTGTTGTTGCGGTCCGCCTGTAAGTATGCTATATATAAATATATATAAATATATACATATTTATATATGTGAACAAATGTGAAAGAAGTCGGCGCTTTCTTTATGTCGCTGGCACGCGTTTGGTTTGCGATTTTATTTCCGGCCAAAACGTATGCAAATTTTTTACGGCCCCGCCCTCGGAATTTTCCCAATTTCCCCCGCCCCCTTTCTTATCGCTGCGGCACACATAAACAAGCGGAAGGCGAAGCTGCAAGCGTTGACAATAAATAATAATTTTTTGTTTTCCAAGCGAATCGTCATGAATTATAAACGCAAATGCAGAACTTGCTTATCGCCAGGATATGGAAAGTGGAATGATTCCTCCATTGGTGGGAGGAAAGTGGAGTGGATTGGGTCGAGGAGTCTCGAGTGAAATGAAAGATGAATGCCGAGACGGCTTACCGACGCCACAGCAAACAGCGAGTACATTCCCATGCGGAGTTTCCGTTTCCGGTGGCGAAAATGCGAGGGGGAGGGGAAGGGGGTGGGGGAAAAGCGACGTGCCAACTAAACCGCTTAAGCACTCAATTTGCGCGTGAAAAGGAACTTGACACCCACACAAGCGCATCCCAACACACACATGTGTGTGTGTGTGGGCAACCGCATAGGCGCAAACTCCCCCTTCCCTTTTCCCTTCCCCTCCTCCTTTCCTTCGAACGACCGCGGCACATGTCAGCACTTTGTTGTGATTTCCGTTTCCGCTGTCGCTACATCCTCGTCATCCCCTCTCACCCCTTCACCCCCTCATCATCCGTTACCCCTTTGCCACATGTGTGAGTGCGAGTGTGAGTGTGTGAATGTGTGCGCTTATTGATATTGTTGTCTTCCTTGCATTCGCATTTAACGGCAGTTAGCATACGTTTCAGTTGCGAATGATGTATCCTTCAAGGAGGAAAGGGTAGTAATGAATATATTTAAAATAGAAGAGTGTTTGTTTTACTTTGGGATGCTTTACTTCACCTATTTATTAAGTAGTCCATTTAAATAGTTTATTTTGTTTTAAATTTAACTTGAACTTTAAACCAACTTATATAATCATTATATTATCATTTTAAATATATATAATATATAATTTTAACGAAAGAAACAATTTATTTAAAAATTATATTAAAATTTTAAACAAATTAAATTAAATTAAAATTTAATTACCTAGGAGAAAGGAGAAAATCTTACATGTTTTAATTTAACTTAGTGGTTATATGTATATCATTGTTTAGTACTTTTTTACCATACAACTATTTCAATCCGCTTTTAACATTAAAGGGTACTATAACTTCGAAGCCAGACTGCAGATAACTCCTTTTATTGTGTTCATTGTAACCCTTGATAAGCGTAAATGTATTTATTTGTGACTTGCCCTCTGACACCGCACCCCTTGAGCATCCGCATCCGCATCCCCCTCCCCCTTCACTTGCAACCCTCTCTCCCCTCGTTCGTCAAGGTTGCGTGTGTGTCAAATTAGGGTTAAATGCTTCTCCCCTTCCATCCGCATCTACACCCTTCCACCCCTCCGCCTCTTCCGCCCAACCACCCATCACTTCCCCTGTCTTCTTAGCTAATTTGTTGTTTTTTGCTTGGATTTCATACGGCGCTCTTGTTGCGGAACACTTTCCCCGCAGCTTAGGAGTTTTGAATGCTACACGCCCGACTGCTCTTGGCCTTAAGTAGGTCTTAAGTCTTCATTTGTCTACTCCTGCCAATGGAAATTATGCTGCTATGCTCCTCAACTCCTCAACTCCTACGAAGTAAGCGCTTAATATGCCGACCGCATGGAAAACCCACAATTTTCCAGTCCAATTTTTGCTGTCAATTTAAGTTGTAATTAACAGACCGACGGCTGAGCACCCAGCCTCCCCCTCTTTCTCCCCCTTCCTCCTCCAAATAGTGGTCGAAAAACCCCCAAAAAAAGAAAAGAATTTTTGGGAGTCCTGGGTGAAATTCGGCATATGGCATGCAGCTCACGTGCGCTCATTACGCATTTGATAAATTTAGCATGAAAGGAAAGCCTGGGGGGAGCAAAGAGCACACCTTGAGCTCCCCATTCTTTAGGGGAGGGGCAAAAAAATGAATACGCCAGAGCAATGTCAAAATAGACAATGCAGAGATTACCTGAATTACTGAAGAGCTGGAAACTCATTCACTTTCGGCACATAATTAATCAAAAAACGGAGGCTTGAGCTGTCCGCTTTTGGGGCATCCGACATTCGGTCCGGATTTGGGTCATTAAAAGGCGACCCAACCACCGGTCGTGCATAATGAGCTCCACTGCCAAAAGGATTAAGATCCGAGAGAGCTGGGCAATATTTTTAATGTTCCCGTCCTGGCTTTGTTTTGGTTCCTTGCCCGCGAAAGGAGGAGTCCTTTCCCGTTTTTAATTCCCCTGCTTTTTATATTTTGATTCCTTTTTTTGTTGCTCGTGCCCCGCTGTTGATGCATCTTATGCCACTTCGGTGAAAGCAGCTCGGAAAAATAAGCTTAGGAATGGAAAACAAACCGCTGCCTAACCTCCACTCCAGCTTTCCTTTTTCCATTGTGTGCACATTTCCCTGTATATCTATCGTTTTTCCGATTTTAATTCCTGTTTTTTTCCGCTCGTGCTTACTCAATTAGAGACCTTTTCTCCTTCCGGGATTCTGGGCTTAACCGGCCAGGGTATTTTATTTTTTTTATTTTTTAGAGCCCATTCCCGTGACCACTTAAGTATGCTAAGCTCACAGCTTAATCTTGCTCTGGGTTTTGACCTCTTTCGATCACGTTTCGCCTTCGCTTTTAATTGTATTTCTTGCCCTTTTTGTCTAAGCAATTTTCCTAAAATATCTTCCCGAGAAAATCGTGGTTTTTATAAGCGGTAAGCTCGCGCTGCCATTGATAAATTTCCGGCAATATGCTGTAATAAACTGCAAAAAAAGCAATTTCAGAAACTTAATTTTTAAGCGATTATGTTTGTAAATATTTTCTCAGCCACCCCGAAACAGGGGAAAACCTTTCCAGAATCTGTGTCCAATGGACAAACCAAAAGACAAGCAAAGTCTCTTTATCATCGACAAACATAGCAACATCCCCTCACCCCAAAAAAAACATCCTGTTTTACCCACCCTTCCTTGGTTTCAAATATGAATTTATTTTCCATACTTTTCATCTCATTTCTCTTTGTGTTGTTTTTGTCTTTTCTCTTTTTTTCATAAGTCCTTGTAAAGTGACCCTTTTAATTTTCCCTGCGCTTCGCATTGTTGGCACTTAATGTATCTGTATCTGTATCTGTATCTGTATTCCCCACTCTCTGTTTTTCCGGCATTTTCCTCGGCTTTTGTCATATCGTTAATATATTCATGCGGCGCATTTTTTGCGGTTTGACACGCTTGTTCTGTTCGGATTCCCTGATATGATCAGGGTTCAGTTTTTTGGGAGTAGCGTTTCTGTCCGATTGAATATATTAAGGTATTTCTGGAACGGGGAAAGTTCAATTTGCATTCAACTTTTTAATTGCATTCATTTGAGCGTAAAGTATCTTTGGCATTTACTTTTGGCTCCTCCTTCTGTCGAAACTTACCAAAAGTTTATTTCTTAGTTTCATTAAAAATATGATGGCAGGCGAGAATATTTGTACAAGCCAGCAGAAATGCCTCTGGTCTTGCGAGAAACTTTATTTCTAATCAATGGCCTTCGGCGAATACATAATTCAACTATTGAGCACTCTAACTAAATTAGTTGGAAAATTAGATTGTCTTCTGTGAGCTCTTCTAGGAGTTCTCTTCGCTCCAGTAAATGGCGAAAAGGCAGCTCCGCATACCAATGTGGGTTCTCCTTTTCCAGACTGAATCCCGAAATGGCTTCCGGTCGAAGGAGTCGAATGCCACAAGGATATCGCTGGGGCATTAAA